GTTTTTGCTTTCATTCAGTTTAAAAATAATTTCCAGTTTCCCTTGTGACCTCTTATTTGACCTGTGAGTTATTTAGAAGTATATTATTTAATTTCCAAAATGTGAGGATTTTCCAGATAGCTATTACTGATTTCTGATTTCATTTGGTGATGGTAAGAGAATGTTTTATGCTTTTGATTTTTTTTAAGTTGTGAAAGTTTGCTTTATGGCCCCAGAACATGTTCTATTATGATAAATGTTCTGTCTGTACTTTTGAAAAGAGTATGTAGTCTGTTTTGTTGGGTGGAGTGTCCTATAAATGTTAGGTCAAGTTGGTTGATACTTTTCTGTCTTTCCCTGTTACCTATTTACTTGTTTTATCAATTACTGAGAGAAGAGTGTCGAAGTCTCCAAGTATAATTGTATATTTTTAATTTTTATTTCTTGTTTTAGTTCACTTAGTTTTTCCTTTATGTATTTTGAAGCTCTTTTGTTACATAGATGCTTAGGATTGTTTTGTCTTCTTGGTAAATTGACCCTTTTATCATATAATGTCCCTTTTTGTTGATGATAATATTTCTTATTCTGAAGTTTACACACTCTGATGTTTAGCACAACAGCTTTCTTGTAGATCGTCTGCATGACATATCTTTTTTATTGTTTTACTTTTAACTTATTTAATATGTCTTTAAAGCAGGTTTTTTTTAGGCAACATATGTGTAGTTATTTTTATATCCAGTCTAGCCATCTGTGTTTCCTAATGGGTATTTTAGGCTATTTATTTAATTATTGATGTGGCTAGATTAGATCTACTGTTTTATTTGCTTACTGTTTTTCTCCTCAGTTTTTTCCTTTTCTCCTTTCTTGTGTATTACTTTATGTTTATTATTATTTCATTTTATCTACTGAATATTTGTTTAATATCATTATATTTAAATATATATTTTGGTGGTCGCCCTGCAGCTTAAAATATACATACCTGAGTTAGTAGTATACTTCATGTAAAATGCTAAGCTTTACAACCACATAGTTCATTTACCTTCCCTCCTTTATGCTTGTAAGTCATTGCTGCCCACACCAATAGCATAGTTTTGCAGTTGGCGCCATCCTCAGGAAAAGTCAAGACAGAATACAGGAGAAAATGGCAAAACGGATCCTTGTAAGGATGGGCTATTTTTTGCATTTTGGCTCCCTCCTTAGTCTGCCTGCTATTTTTTTACTTTTATATTGTTGCTTTTTGTATTCTATCCAGAATTTTTAGTGTCAGTCTGTGGGGGAGGGAGGCTTTAGTGGTCCTTGTTGATCTTGTTTGGAATCCAAAGTGCCACTTTTTAATTGAAGAGATACTAGCAAAAAAATCTTAAATTTTTTTATCCTGCTACTACCAGGTGATGGTGTGGGGGAATAAAGGAATATTCATTTATTAAGAATACAGATGTCTACTCAGTTGTATATCTTGGACAACTGTAGTTCTGATCATGCAGAACCTGTGCCACAGGCAGAGAAGCCATCAGTATTGTTTTCCACCATCACTTTCTCATTTGGCAGTCACTCTCCATATTCCTTTCCATCCACTAGAAAGCAGCTCTTTTCCTATTCAGTAGGAACCTGAAGAGGCATGGAGAGGCAGAACAAAGATAAGTAGGTTTTTACAACCTTTAAAGAGTGACAGCTCTCTTGGCTGGGTGTGGTGGCTCACGCCTGTAATCCTAGCACTTTGGGAGGTCAAAGCAGGTGGATCACTTGAGGTCAGGAGTTTGAGATCAGCCTAGCCAACATGGTGAAACCCCGTCTCTACAAAAAATACAAAAATTAACTAGGCATGGTGGTGTGCGCCTGTAGTTCCAGCTATTTGGGAGGCTGAGGTAGGAGAATTGCTTGAACCTGAGAGGCAGAGGTTGCAGTGAGCCAAAATTGCACGACTGCACACCAGCCTGGGGGACGGAGCAAGACTGTCTCAAAAAAAAAAGAAAGAAAAAGAGTGACAGCTCCCTGGCAGTTGAGCAGGGCACTCCAAGCTACTGATTGTTGGACACTCGAAGGAAGTAGATTCCTCATAGTCTCTCCATAGTGATAGGACTGCTCCCCAGTAGCCTCTACTTGAGTTGCCCACTGCCCACATCATTCCCATTGTGCAGTCTGCTCTTGGGCTCTGGACTATGAGGTGAAAAGGTTGTTCTTGTTGTATAAACATGTTTGTTTTTCTTTCTTTGTTTCTGGTGTCAAAACTATGAGTACCCAAGGTATTAGCAATATGAGCATTCAGTTATGATAAGAATACATCATACATTGTGAATAGTTTACGTGTATTGTAGCTGTATTATATGTGTATTGTAATCTTTACTTCAACGGTTGTGTCTATTTTAAAGAACTTAAGAGGAAAAATAATCTGCTTTATTTATTCAGATATTTGCCATTTTTGTTGCTTTTCCTTTACCCAAGGTTTGCTCTTGTAATTTTTCTTTTTAGCATAAAGAATTTCCTTCAGCATTTGTTTTTGAGCAGATCTGTTGGTGATGAATATTCTTAATTTGTACTTCATCTGAAAACTTTATTTCATCTTCAGTCCTGAAGGATGTTTTCACTGCTTATAGGTTTCTGGGTCAATAAGTCTTTCAACACTTTGAAAGTATTCTTCCACTGCGTTGCAGCCTTTGTGAATTCTGATGAGAAATCCACAGTTGTTTGAATTGGTATTCCCCTATGAAAATATGTTGTTTTTCTCCAGCTGCTTATATTTTTTCCCCTATAGCTTCTGTTTTCAGCAGTTTGAATCTAACGTGTGTAGGCATAGTATTCTTTCATTTTAGCCTCATTGAGGTTTGCTGAGCTTCTTGAATCTGTACATTTATATCTTTCACCAAATTCGGGAAATTTCAGCTGCTGTTTCTTTAAGTACTTCTGCAACAATCTTTCATCCTTCCTTCTGGAACATTTTGGTATTTTCCCATAGGTCTTTGAGGCTTTGTTCGTTTTTTCAACTTCTTTTCTCAGGAGAAGTTATCTTTGTTATTCAGATTGGATATTTTCTATAGATTTATTTTCAATTGCACTAACTTTGCTCTGTCAATAACAATAACAACCCATTATTCTCTTCAGTAACAGCTCATTCTGTTATTGCACTTATGTGAACTTTTTGTTTTAGGTAATTTTTTTTTTTTCCAGTTCTAACATTTTCTTTTCTTTTCTTTTTTTTTGTAGCAGCTTTCTTTTTTTGCAGCAGCTTCTGTTTCTTTGCTGATAGCTGTCATTTCATTCACTTCAGATATGTTTACCTTTACTTCATACAATATAGTTAGAAATGCTTTTAAAAGTTTTAAAAATAATACATTCAACATCTGGGTTATATCTAGGTTGACATCTGTTGAATGTCTTTTTCTCTTAAGATTTGGTCACATTTTTTGGACTCTTTATGACAAATAATTTTGGACTATATCTTAAACATCCAAAATGTTATATTGTGTAGACTCTGCATCCTGTTATAATCCTTTGGAGACTATTGGGATTTTTTGCTTATTTTTTTGTTTTGTCAGGCAATCAACTTGCTTAGGTTCAGATTACAAATTCTGTTTTGCCTTCTATGGGCAGTGGTTCTAATCTCAGTTCAGTTTTCAAAGCTTTTGCTTCTTCGGGTCTGTCTCATGCAGGCACCACTCAGGTCTTAATCTGGGACTTTGACAGTGACCCAAGTATCAATTGAGTTTTCCAGTCTGTGAGAATTGCTGTGCTGTTTGGCTACACGTGTGCTGCTCAGGGTTGACCCTGAGATTTGCACACATTCAGTCTCAGAATTAGGGGATCCCCTTCTCTAGGTTTTTCTCTGGGATTTTCCCCACATTCTTCAGTTTACAAGACTGCCCCCCACCCCTGCCCCCTCCCCCCCACACACATACAAAAATTAGCGGGATGTGGTGGCGCATGCCTGTAATCCCAGCTACTCAGGAGGCTGAGGCAGGAGAATCGCTTGAACCTGAGAGGTGGAGGTGGAGGTGGAGGTGGAGGTGGTGGTTGCAATGAGCCAAGATTGCATCATTGCACTCTAGCCTGGGCAATAGAGTGAGACTCTGTCTCAAAAAAAAAAAAAAAAAAAAGGCACAAGAATAGTCATTAGCTTATATGAAATATAAATGTCTTGAGAAGTCACATTTTCAGTTTGATGCGATAGAAATTTTAGAATAATTGGTCTTAATTCAACTAGTAGTAAATTTTCCTCTTATAGTAAAGCAGTGCTTTGAACTTCTTGGACATGCAGCATGTTTTCAGGATCTGTTGAGTCACGTGGAATTTTGGTGTTTGGGTATATCTGCCTCCACCAGGATAAAAAACAAACATATCAATAACAAAAACAAAATTAGGGATTTTTGAAAATCAAGGGACATGATATGGTTTTGGTTCTGCTGTATATGACTGTGTAAAATATTAAATTTGGTTTTTGTTAATTATAACTTAGTATGACAAACTAGTACCTCTAAAAAGGATGACTAGAAAAGGTTTTCTGGCCAGGGGCGTTGGCACACACCTGCAATCCCAGCACTTTGAGAGGCTGAGGTGGGAGGATCACTTGAGCTCAGGAGTTCAAGCTGGGCACCATGGTGAAACCCCATCTCTACAAACAAACAAAAAACAAAAATTAACCAGGTTTGGTGATGTACACTTTTAGTCCCAGCTCCCCTGGAGGCTGAGGTGGAAGGATCGTTTGATCCTGGGAGGTCAAGGCTGCAGTGAACCAAGCTCACATCACTACACTCCAGCCTGGGCCATAGAATGAGACCCTTTCTCAAAAATAGAAAGAAAAAAAGGTTTTCTTTTTTAAATCTTAAGTGACTTTTTGTTAAGAAAGATGATGAGTTAAAAGTGTGTTATTAGTTCATTCTTACTCTCAGAGGAGGAAATATAAATAGCTGTTCTTGTTCTTTCCTCCATTCTTACCAAGAGAATGTTCTATTTCTGTAGTACATGGTGACAGAGTTATAACAGGTAAACATGCCAATCCTTTACCTATTATTGTTCTTTTGTAACAGTCAAGTCCGTCATCTCCAGAACCAGCTAGTCTTCCTGCAGAAGATATTAGTGCAAACTCCAATGGCCCAAAACCCACAGAAGTTGGATTAGATGATGACAGAGAAGATCTTTTTGCAGGTAATTGTCATGTCTTTATTTTTTAATAATGGTCAATTGCAGTATATTTTCTATTAGATAGGAAATATCTAAAACAAAACTGAAATTCTGTGTAAAGTGTTAGTGGCAGCTCTTGTAACAACTTAGAAGGATGGGGAATTTCCAGTCACATCACTGTATGAAAAATGTGCACTGTCACAGAGAAGCAAAAATGTGGTTCTTTCTGGCTGTAAGCTTTTGAGAATAAATTATATATTATAATTTGATTGGGGGCAGTACTTAGATGCAAAAGACTAATGATTGTGATACTCATACTTTGGGAAATAGCAATGATTGTACTTTTTTGTTGCTTACAAGTTGTCACAAAGCAAAATTAAACTATGGATTTAAAAATTATTCTATATTTATGTTTGAAAGCTGTTTTAATAAATTGCTGTGCCATTTACCATCTGTTCTATTTGACCCACTTTTAGGTGAATAAATTGATGCTTAAGGGATTTGTTTTTGATACAGGGGCAGGATTTGGTGTAGTTCATCCTAACTTAAGATAAAAGGACTCTTTTTAACAATTATCTGCTTTAAAATTAAAATTAATGTTTTAATATTAAAAAGCAACATCTTCCTTAAAATTAATGACACAAAAATGAAAATGGTAAATTTTATTTTGTGTGTTTAATAGCCTAATTTACCTGAACTGGCTTTCATTGAGTTAAAACTTAATATGAATGGATTCTTTTGTGGCTCATAAGCTTGGGATTTTCACACTAAACATTTTAACTCAAGATTGGGACTTCACACTAATCTGTGAGATGTGCCTCCCTCAAACCTTGCTATAGTATTGGCACATTACCCATCTCACATGAAAAAGGAAAAAGAAAAAAAGATAAAAAATGAATAATTATGTTCTCAACTTTCATAGTGGTTCAATATTCAAACCATTCTGTGTTTTTGTACAAACATGCTTGAAGATACAATCCTCCATCACAAAAATCCATATAATTTACACCTTGATTCAGTCCATGAGAAGTTGTCACTGCAGATGAATTCACATATTTTATTGTGTCACAAAATTAAAAGTATGATACCACACACCATCATGTTCTCTCTTTAAAATTTTAAGCCACCTAACAACTTAGAGTTAAAATCACAGTTAACCAAAGTTGTAATATTACAGTATTTGTTATTATGTCCTTTTGTGGACTTTTTTCCAGGCAATCTTTCAAAGTTGTTCCATGGTATTTGTATCTTATGCTAAAATATGACACAAGTTCTTTCTCTACTTATCAAGTACTAATCTAAAATTCTGTGTATTCTTTTAATAGTATAGGGTCATACAAAGAGGTTTTAAATTATTCATTTTCTTAGACTCCTTCACCCAATAATCTCAGATTTCTATGTAGATGAGCATGTTTAAACCTTACTGTAACAACAGAACTCTGTGTGTGTGTGTTTATGTACATGTGAGGTTTTTTTTTTTTTTCTTGACAGTATGCACAGCTGATCAAAGAGTTAGCCAAGTGAGCACTATACAGTGATATTTGCCCACTTAGCTTGGTTAGAATAAAAATTAAAAACAATTTTTAGGTAGGTTCTCACTCTGTCACCTAAGCTGGAGTGTGTAGTGGTGCCATCATAGCTCACAGCAGCTTCGAACTCTTGGGCACAAACAATTCTCCCACCCTTGCTTCTCAAGTAGCTAAGTCTACAGACATGTGCCACCATACCTGGATAATTTATTCATGTTTTGTAGAGATAGGATCTTGTTGTGTTGCCCAGGCTGGTCTTGAACTCCTGGCCTCAAACAGTCCTCCCACCTGGGCCTCCCAAATTATTGGGATTACAGGGGTGAGCCACTGAGCCCAGCCAGAAAAATCTTTATACTGTTTTATTCTATCTAGCAGTCTATACTAAATTCTGTGAATCAAATATGGTGAATATCAGTGTTTGTTTTAAAAAAAGAGAGAGATGGTAACTAAAGAACAATAAACATAGTCATCTGTCTCCTTTGTTAACCTAAAAATAGAAACCTTTTCTATGCTTTAGCTTTCATCTTAAACTCAGCTGTATTTCATAATGACATCATTTAAGTGACTGAAGACCTAATCTGATGATTTTTGTATGAATGAATGAATAGTACACTTGGTTCTTATTTATAATACATTTTAACAGGTGTAGCATTCCTCCTTCTATGGAGGAGTATGGTTCTAGGAAACTGTAATAGGAAGCAGCATATGTTACTGGGATGGTGAAAACTATTGTTCAGTAATGAGAAAACTATATTTGATTTGTTCCTCCTATACCAGAGGAAAAAATATAGATATTGCTGTAGTGACATTGACATAATCTGTTTATACATGTCTCAAAGCATGTCTCCAAGGAACATTTAATCTTTATAGTTAGCACCTATGAAGCATCTTCCTGAACCTTTAGGTCTGCTTTAAATTAAACCTTGTGAATTTGTAATATATTGGTTTAATTAAGCTAAAAGGTGTCATGAAGAAAATTTAAGACAGATTATATATTAGTATGTTGAATCTAAATCCTACAGTTTTTGAATGAAGCAGCCTGTTAGTGTAAATAACACAAAACTCAGTATCAGTAAAGTAAAATGTTATTAAAAAGTTTAAATGACTTCATCTATTCTGATTTCTCAATAAAGTTACTCTCTCTCACAGTATTTTGCCTGTGAGTCTGTTGCCAAATAGCAGTGTCTCTTTCAGATTCTGGGGTTTTTGTTTTCTTTGGTGCTTGCTGTTTTGCTTATTGTTGTAAAGATCTCACACTTGTAGCTTTGATATACTGCTTTTTTACTTTATCGTATTACTCATTGGTTTCATTTCTTTACAAAAAGAGTAATAAATACCATTAATCATCACAGCCTAAAGTTGCATATAAGCTTTTCTTTTGTTTTGGTAGGCTTATCTATATCCTGTTTCAACATCTATAGTCCATTTTCTTTCTTCTGGTTACGGTAGTTTGAAAGATTTTTAGTTATTGATCATTTTCGCTTTTAATATGAAAAAGAGATCATTTATACTAAGTAAGGATCTCATCAATATGAGATAACCAGTAAACATAGCTTGATAAAATGTTGACATGTATAACCTTATTTCAGGTAAATATGCTATTACTGCTATACCTTGAGGTATTAAGATTAAAATGGTTCACTGACTATCATTACCACCATCTTGAACCTCTAAGAATCTAAGAACCTCAGGTTAGAAACCACTGGCCTGGTCCTGTGTTTTCCTTGAGGTCCTGCCTTCCTTTCCTAGTATCAATTCTACAAACCAGCAAAGTTGTGGTTTACATTATGGCCATCAATTGTAATTTTCCCTTTCCTGGCTCTGCTTTTTGCATATGCTATTATTCCATTTTCATTGAATTCTTCCTTCATTTTTTCTCTACCCATTTCAGTCTTCTCAGATCCATTTTGTAAACTGTTCTTGATTTTTGTCTCCTGTCTCAACTCAAATTGCAGTGTTTGTTCTATAGCTTATGTAGCAATTACATGTCTTATAACATTCTTTTCATTGTTTGCCTGGCTATTATTTAAGTCTTTTATTATTATTTAACATCCCACATGCTTATGTCTTGTTTTCCCCAACTAGATTATAAACTCTCTGAGGGCAGGTATGATATTTTACATTTTTGTGTGTTTTTCCGTTGCACTTAGCACAATGTTATGTAGCCTGTAGACATTCAGTATTGATTTGGTTTGATTTTTAAAAAATTATTAGTATTAGATTTTTCGAGTGAGTGGGCATTTTAATTTAAAACCTAAACACCTATTTGTTTTGTATCATATTTGTGTATCCAATTAATATCCAGTAATCTTTAGCAATTAATTGCTTTAGATTACTAACTTTGTAGCTTTTCCTAACCAGTTTTTAATCCAAGTTAAAATAGTTGTGGGCAGACTTCCACCATAAAATTTGTGTTTATATGTATAAAATAATCATAATATTAGTGTAAATAAATATTTGAAAGGTAAGTTACCACAAGTATAAGATGTTACAAATCCAAACACAAATGTGGAATCATCTACATCATTGCTTTTCTTTCAGCCTTATCCCTACCACTAGTATAATTAAGCTAACTTAATAGGATTCTTTCTAAAACCAACAAAGTTACAGTTGATTTTAAAGTTGTGGTAAATAACTAAGGAAGGATGCATAAAATTCCTTTGTCACAATTATTTTTAAATGATATTATTTTTTATTTGTGGGTAATATAAAAATATTTTTTATAATCCATTAACTGCTATGTAGAATATTGGGGATTTGCTTGCCAGTGTTCTTAACTAACTTGTTTAATCTATGTCTAGAAGCCACAGAAGAAGTTTCTTTGGACAGCCCTGAAAGGGAACCTATCCTATCCTCGGAACCTTCTCCTGCAGTCACACCTGTCACTCCTACGACACTAATTGCTCCTAGAATTGAATCAAAGAGTATGTCTGCTCCCGTGATCTTTGATAGATCCAGGGAAGAGGTACAGGAAAATGTATTCTAAATTAATATGTAAATATATACCTTTTTTCCCCCACCCAACATCACTCTGCTGTTAGTCATTTCTAATCAAAGCCTTTCAGACATTTTGGGAAAAGAATTTTGGACTAAATAAGTTATGGGATCTGGCTTCCATCTCCCCCACTCTACCCAGTGACCTGGGTGTATCATTTACCTTGTTAAGTGAAGGAGTTTGTCATTTCTGATTTTATGATAATAGCGTGTGTTTCCCTGGGTTTCTTTGTTGGTCAGATGATATATAAAAGTGCTTTGAAAACTGTTAATCACAATAAAGTGATATTTTGTGTAAATTTATTTGATAAAATTTGTAATAAATACTATTAATACTTAAAGGTTGCTATTGAAAAAGAAGGGAGGATGTATATCAGTTAAAGGTACATTCTCATGATTTGGCAGTAATTTCTGACAAGGTGAATTTGGAAAAGAAAAATGAGGTTATTTTAATGGCAAAATTATATATTTAAAAGTCATTCATGGAAATAATGTCATTAAAATGACCATGATCAAATAACCACATACAAAAATATGAATAATCTCGCAAACATAATATTAAGGGAAATAAGACATAAAAGAACACTGATGTAGTTCTAATATATGAACTTTAAAAACAGGTAAAACTAAGGTACAGTGTTAGATGTCAGGGTAGTGGTTATTTTGGCAGGTAAAGAATGGGTTGTAACTGGAGGGGAAGCATTAGAGGGCCTCCTGAGCTGTAGTGATGATGCTTATTTATGATCTAGGTTCTGGTTACAAAGATGTGTTCACTTTGTGAAGACTTATTGAACTGTACACTTAAAATTTATATACTTTTTTTTTTTTTTTTTTTTTTTGGAGATCGGAGTTCGGCTCTGTAGCCGGTGGCTGGAGTGCAGTGGCGGATCTTCAGCTCACTGCAAGCTGCGCGCTCCGGGTTGACGCTTGTCCGCTGCTCTCAGCTCCAAGTAATGGAGGACTACACGGGCCCGCGCATTCTCGCCGGCTAGTTTTTGTTGGTATGTTTTTAGTAGAGCGGGGTTTCCACGTGTCGCAGGATATGTCTCGATTTCTGACCTCGTGATCACCGTTCGGCTCCCAAGTTGCTGGGATTACGGTTGAGCACCGCGCTTCGGCAAATTTATATATTTTATGTAATTTTTTTAAAGTGTTTGTACTTTAAAACATCTGTCCAAGAAGAGCAACCGTGAAATAAAACATATGGGTTTCAAAACATTTTCATTAGACATGTTAGATATTAATCATTGCCTCGAAAAATTTGCAAAGTTGCATAATCTCTGGAATTTGTGCGTTGAGAATAACAAAGCTTTCCTGCAGCGCTAAGTTTGAATTGCTTATTTTTAAATGGCGTTACAAGTGGCTTCTTCTTAAGGTCTCGACATAGGGTTATCTTTTTCCCACTGTTACGGCTTTTTCATTTGGTTTTAATGCTTTCTTGGCCTCGAAGACATGGTGTTTATTAGATAATTTGAGAAATCGTTGATATAAGTTGCTTTCAGTATTCCTTCTGCTGGTTGTAGGTTTATGATAAAGTAATGGAGTCCTACCTCCTTGGTATTAATGGTGAGGAGTAGAGATGAACTTGAAACTGCTGTGTAAATTAGAAAGAAGAAGAATCTGATCTCAAGTTCGTATTAGAACAAAAAATCCGTACAATATTTTGTACAAAAAGACTAAACATTTTTTTCTGCATCTGATGAATTAAAGAGGATTTGGGCTGGCGCAGTGGTCAACCTGTAAATCCCAGCACTTTTGACAGGTGGGCGATCACTGACATCAGTTGAAACGCCTGGCCACATGGTGAAACTGTCTTACTAAAAATAAAAATCACTGGAGTAGTGCAGACACCTGTAATCCCAGCTACTTGAGAGGCCGAGGCATGAGAATTGCTTGAACCCAGCAGGCAGAGGTTGCAGTGAGCTGAGATTGAGCCACTGCACTCCCACCTGGGCAACAGAGTGAGACTCTGTCTTTAAAAAAAAAGAAAAACTTGTTACTTCTCCAGATGGTCTTTTTCGTGTGTGTGTGTGTGTGTGTGTGTGTGTGTGTGTGTGTGTGTATTTTGTTTGTGAAGTCAGGAAATGTGAAAGTTTTTATTGTTTTTCAAAAGTGAAGTGCTGGGTGGCTAAATTATTTGTTTTGACAGTGACTCTTACAGAAAATAGATGATAAAAATTAGTGTCATGACAATAATTTAAATTGTAATTTTTAATGCCAAAAAATAAATTATACTTTCTAGATTGAAGAAGAAGCAAATGGGGATATTTTTGACATAGAAATTGGTGTATCAGATCCAGAGAAAGTTGGTGAGTCAATATTTATGATATTTTGTATTTGCTTTTTATTAGTTTGTTGGTTTAGTATTGTTTTTCTTCATACATCAGTATAGTATTAAATGAGTTTTATTTTTATGCATGTGATTTTAATAGTAGTGTTTGACTTTTTTTGTAGGTGATGGCATGAATGCCTATATGGCATATAGAGTAACAACAAAGGTGAGCTTTTTGTGCTTTTAAAAAAACTATTAAGCCCTCATTATGTGTAGTATGAGGATATGGCTATGATTGAGGTAGAAGTGATCCCTGTCTTTATAAAGGGTACCACCTAATAAAGATTGCCAAGAAATAGGTACAATGAGTTGTGAGTGGTTTGATATGTAGTGTTCAGTGAGAGTATGCAGGATGGGACCTAATTCAGACCTCAAGATGCCTAAGCCAAGACATAGGTGTGGGAAATGATGGGGAGGAGTAGGGGAAGAAGAAGAATGCTTGTTCCAGGTGAGGAATTTGCTTGTGCAAAAGCCAAAAGTCAGGAAAGCATTGTGCTTTCTAGGCTCTCTTAGAAGTGATGCATAATTGAATTGTTTAGCAGTAAGACTTCGTGTATTATGAGCAGCCACATTTTAAGGAGTTTAGCTTCATCCTAAGTATAATGGAGAGCCATTAAAGAAGTTCAGAGAAGAGTGGCACAATTAGGTTTTTGTTTTAGAAATATTTCTTTGGCCTCAGTATGAATTGGGAGGGTCAAAGTAGAGGTCAGGATTTCCAGTTAAAGGGACACTGCAATGATTAAAGGATTGTATCCCTTCAAATCTTAAAAGAGAATGTCTGTCACAGCAATTCTAGCTGTGAGCAGTAATACTTTATACTAAGAAAATGATTCTGGAGATGAGTGAAGTAAGTGTCTTTTTGAGTTACCTAGGAGGTAGAATTGACAGGACTTGGATGTAAGTGATGAGGAAGGAGAGGGATGCCTAGGTTATTGACTAGAGGGACTTTGCAGCTGTGAGAGTGATCCATGGAGAAAGGCAACGGGGGCAGGAACACGGTGAGGATGGGGATGACAGTTGTTAATTAATTGGGTAAATATTCGTTAAACACCTACCATGGTGTCAAACTTTGTTGCAAGCACTGGGGTAGAGTAGTAAACAATACAGACAAGGGCAGCATCTTATAGAACTTACGTTCCGGCAGGGGGAAATAGGGTAAGTTTGAAGTGCCAGTGAGATTTAAGTGGAGGGGTATTTGGATATATTGGACTGAAGCTTTGAAAGATACCTGGGCCAGATGTAAAGATTTAAGAATTGTTAGCATACATAGAGTGAATAACATCAGTTAAGATAGAATAATGCAAACACTTTTTTGTCCTATTAAGGTTCTGTAAAATCTATGGTTTAGGTTTTTTTTAGTTAGAAAACTATATACCACATTAGTTAGATACTCTGCATTGTTTTTCAAAGTAGATATATGTGTGTGTTCACAATTATGTATAACATTAACTTGTAGAATAATTACTTACTATTCAAAATTTGAAATGCCTCTTCTTCACTTGTAGACATCTCTTTCCATGTTCAGTAAGAGTGAATTTTCAGTGAAAAGAAGATTCAGTGACTTTCTTGGTTTGCACAGCAAATTAGCAAGCAAGTATTTACATGTTGGTTATATTGTGCCACCAGCTCCAGAAAAGAGTATAGTAGGTAAGCACAAATTTTTCAAAAATTAATTTTTGTTACTGTTACTAGTTCAGTTTTAACTGTATAGATTTGTGGATTTCTTAATCATTCACTGTCAACATTTTATAATGCATAGAGATAACTGAATTTAAATATTTCATTTATACTAATCATGCATGGATTGAAGAATGTATTGGTAATAGTTTTATTTTCTAACACTTGAGGATTTTTGTTTATATAATACAATAATGTTAAATATTGGGTTGAGGCCAGGTGTGGTGGCTCACACCTGTAATCCCAGCACTTAGGGAGGCCAAGGTGGGAAGATCACTTGAGGTTAGGAGTTCGAGACCAGCCTGGCCAACATGGTGAAACCCTTGTCTCTAGTAAAATGGAAATTAGCCAGGCATGGTGGCACATGCCTGTAATTCCAGCTAATTGGTGGGCAGAGGCAGGAGAATCACTTGAACTCAGAAGGCGGAGGTTGCAGTGAGCTGAGATCACGCCTGGGCAACAGAGTGAGACTCAGTCTCAAAAAAAAATTGGGGTTGAAAGTCACCAAGTTAAAAGCAGTTGGAAACCCTAACCTTTTAGGGTCATTAGATTACCATTTTACTGAGTCACAATCAGAGAATACTTATTCTTAATCTGTTAACATTTTTCTAAGGGATGGAGGTGTTAGACCTTCAGCTATACACTAGCCTTGGCTCATATAAGAGCTGTTTAAACTCGTCTTAGTTCATTTCGTACCTCAATTTAGAGTTTAAAAACACTTCTACTTTTTTTTGGGGGGGTGGGGGATGGAGTCTCACTCTGTCATCCAGGCTGAGTGCAGTGGTGCGATCTTGGCTCACTGCAACCTTGGCCTCCTGGGTTCAAGTGATTCCCCTGCCCCAGCCTCCCGAGTAGCTGGGACTACAGGCACACACCACCACACCTGGCTAATGTTTTTTGTATCTTTGGTGTAGACGGGGTTTCACCATATTGGCCTGGCTGATCTTGAATTCCTGACCTTGTGATCCATTTGCCTTGACCTCCCAAAGTGCTGGGATTACAGGTGTGAGCCCCTGTACCTGGCCACATTTGTATTTCTATAAGCAATAAAGACTTAGTTAAGAAACTGCAGAAAATTACAAAAGATGAGGAAACCTCCATAGGCCCACCATTAACAGACATCTGTCATCTCAAAATTTTGTAGTATTTTATTCAATGCTTTTTCAGTCATACGTTTTTATTTACCTTTTTCTTTTTTTTCCCTTTAAAGTAATTATCTTCTCTGTATTGTTCACAGTTTTAGTACATGTGCTACCGAAGTGAGCACTACCATTACTTTTCTTTATACTTAGATTAATCTGAAAGTGTTTTTTTTTTTTTTTCTTTTGAGACAGAGTCTCGCTTTGCTGCCCAGGCTGGAGTGCAGTGGTGTGATCTTGGCTTGGTCGTGGTGGCTCACGCCTGTAATCCCAGCACTTTGGGAGGCCAAGACAGGTGGATCATCTGAGGTCAGGAGTTCGAGACCAGCCTGGCCAACACAGTGAAATCCTGTCTCTACAAAAATACAAAAATTAGCCGGGCATGGTGGCTCCTGCCTGTAAATCCCAGCTACTCTGGAGGCTGAGGTGGGAGAATCACTTGAACCAGGGAGGCAGAGGTTGCAGTGAGCCAAGATTGCTCCATTGCACTCTAGGCTGGGCAACTGAGCGAGACTCCGTCTCAAAAAAAAAAAAAAAAGAATTTTGCTGGTTTTTTTTTTTCCCCCCAAGCTGGTCTCAAACTCCTGGCCCCAAGCAGTCCTCCTGTCTGGCCTCCCAAAGTGGTGGGATTACAGACCGGAGCCACCATGCTCAGCCAAAATTTACTGATTTTTAAATTATTATTTTTACTTTTTTAAACATTAGGTTTATAAAGCAATGTTATTAGTACCTGTTATGGTTTCAAAACCTAACGTATTTAGATGAATTTGTGATATTCTTTTTTTTTAATTCAAAAATTGAGTTTAGTGGTTCTTTAACTTTTTGATCTTTCAAGACCCCTTTGTATTCTTAAAATTTGTTCAGGACCCTAAGGAACTTTTGTTTATGTGGGCTATATTTATGGACATTTCCTTTGAAAACATTTAAAAATTTTTATTTATTGTTTTAAAAATAACAATAAACTCATCATATGTGAAACATTTGTGAAATATATTCTGCAAGACAAATTTAATAAGGGTGGCTTACTTTTTTTTCTTCTACATTTTTGCAAATCTCTAATTTCTGGCTTAATAGAGGATAATTGTATTCTTATATCTGCTTCTGCACTCAATTTGTTTTGAAATAACACATCATATTACCTTTGTAAAACTACACTGAACACTCATGAAATAATGAGAGTAAAAAAATCCAAATAATAGTTTAGTATTATGAAAATAGACTTTGTACCCACCCACCTGTCCCCCTTAAGGGTCTCTGAAACCCTCCAGGTATTCTGAACCGTATTTTAGAACCGCTAATCTTTAATAATCTTATTTCTTCTACTTTAGAACTGCTAATAATTTAATAATCGTATTTCTTCTACTCTAAACTATTGTAGTGGTATTTTTGGCATCCTGTTATCTCTGTAGAGAACTTAAGTTTTATTTATCATAGTTTTTTTTATTAATGTCTTTTTTTGACTTCATTATGCAACATTTTTACATACCAAAAGAGGTAAAACAACATACTATTTTATCTCATTTTGGTAGCTGTATATGCTTAGTTAATCCTTATATGTTGACAAAAAAATTTTAAAAACTAAATTTTCATGCTTAAGGTCATTATGTTTCCAACTGCTTTTCTGCCTTAATAACCTTCAGTGTTCCATGAATTATTACAGTATGATAAATACCACATGTAAATTCAAAGTAGAAGTTAGAAACTAAATCCTAAGAGCATTCTTTTCTGTTACTGATTCTGACTGGCTCCAGATGTTAATAGGGGACAGTGACACAGATATATTTATGTTATCCATGTATCTGACCAGCCTAGCCTATTACAGCAGTGGTCCTGGCCAGGTGCAGTGGCTCATGCCTGTAATTCCAGCACTTTGGGTGGCTGAGGCGGGTGAATCACAAGGTCAGGAGATCGAGACCATCCTGCCTAACACGGTGAAACCCCCGTCTCTACTAAAAATGCAAAAAAATAAAATAAAAGTAGCCAGACGTGGTGGCATGCACCGGTAGTCCCAGCTACTCGGGAGGCTGAGACAGGAGAATGACTCGAACCTGGGAGGCAGAGGTTGCAGTGAACCAAGATTGCGCCTCTGCTCTCTAGCCTGGGCGACAGAGTGAGACTCCGTCTCAAAAAAAAAAAAAAAAAGAGAGAAAAAAAGGCAGTGGTTCCCAACCTTTTTGGCACCAGGAACAGGTTTCATGGAAGACAATTTTCCACGGATGGGGTTGGGGTGGGGCATGGTTTCAGGATGAAACTGTTCCACCTCAGATCATCGGCACTAGATTCTCATAAGGAGCACACAACCTAGATCCCTTGCATGCTCAATTCGTAGGGTTCACACTCCTTTGAGAATCCAATGCCACTGCGGATGTGACAGGAAGCAGAGCCCATCCCCTGCTGTGTGGCCCACTTCCTAACAGGCCATGGACCAGTACTGGTGCATGACCTAAGGTTGGGGACCCCTGGATTAAAGCGTAGGAATAACTAACATTCACTGAATGCTTACTGTGCTGATGTACTGTGGTAAGTACTTCATGTACATTCTATCAGTTGATCCTCTCAGCAACTTTATGAGGTTAACTTATTGTCTTTATTTTACAGGCAAGGAAACAAAGGTTAGTCAAGGTTAGGTAACATGGTCCAAGTCAGTGACAGAGCTGAGCTTTGAATGTAGGCTTTCTAACTCCAGACCCTCTATTCTTAATCATGATTCTATTCTGCATCCTAATTTCAATATGGTTATTTCACCACAATTATAGTTTGCTTGAATTTTTTACCTAAAATAGAAAACTTTCCAATTTTTAAAAATAACATAATGCTTGTGTTATTGTAGAATCATCTAAAATACATTTAAGCCTGGTCAACATAGTAAGACCCCTATTTCTACAAAAAAAATAAATTGAAAAATTAGCTGGTCATGGTGATGTGCACCTGTGGTCCTAGCTACTCAGGAGGCAGGCAAGAGAATCATTTGAGCCCAGGAGTTTGAGGCTGCAGTAAACGACAATCAAGCCACTGCACTCCAGCCTGGGTATCAGAGCAAGAATACAATTTATTTTATTCTTGTAGTAGCTGGGACTACAGGTTTGCCACCATGCCCAGCTGATTTTTTCTTTTCTTTTTTTTGGTAGATAGGATCTCACTATGTTGCCCAGGCTACTCTCAAATTCCTGGGCTTAAACCATCCCCCCTCTACAGGGATGGTTCAATCCCAAAGTGTTGAAATTACAGACATGAGTCACCACACCCAACTGAAATACATTTAACGTGGATTAAGTTGTTAAAACTTCTTTTTTTTTCTTTTTCTTTGAGACGGAGTCTCGCTCTTGTTGCCCAGGCTGGAGTGCAGTGGCACTCTCTTGGCTCACTGCAAGCTCTGTCTCCCGGGTTCACGCTATTCTCCTGCCTCAGCCTCCTGAGTAGCTGGGACTACTTCTTTTCTAATAGTTTAAATGGAATAGTGTTCTTAAGCCAATGAAGGTCCTACCAAAGTAGTAAGTTATGTGCTAATGAAGACTCTTCTCCCTTCAGTGGCAGTTATAAAGCTTCCCAGCAAAGAGAAGTTGCCTGCCAGCGCGCCCAGCTAATTTTTTGTATTTTTAGTAGAGACGGGGTTTTGCCGTGTTAGCCAGGATGGTCTCGATCTCCTGACCTCATGATCCGCCAGCCTTGGCTTCCCAAAGTGCTGGGATTACAGGCATGAGCCACAGCGCCTGGCCTGTTTAAAATTTTACACACACACACACACACACACACACACACACACACACACTCTCCACCATTCCAAAAAGGATTTCAGGCAACTACATGTAATACAGTTTATATATAGAGAAATTGTCAGGAAAAAAATAAATGTAGTCAAATAGTAATATGAAGCCAAGCAAAACAATTTCTTTAAAGTATGGTAAAGTCTTGAACAATTATTAAAGGTGGGTGACAAATTGATCTTTGAACTTCTAATTACATAGCTGGTGGTTTTCAAGTAACTTACACTTAGAGCAGGGGGCGTGGAAAAAGAGTCATAACTTCTCTTTGCTGGGAAGCTTTATAACTGCCACTGAAGGGAGAAGAGTCTTCATTAGCACATAACTTACTACTTTGGTAGGACCTTCATTGGCTTAAGAACGCTATTCCATTTAAACTATTAGAAAAGAACAACAAAGTTGAAAAGTATTAAAAGTTAACTGGTTAAGGTAGGTTGTTTGGGGTTGTATTTATTTATTTATTTATTGGTCACAATGTCCCTTAACGATTACCTCTAAAAAGTAGAATGGATAGGTCTTTAACTTCAGTGAAGAACAACCTAGTGGTGAGATTTTTTTTCAGGGAAATACAGTTTGTGAAACAATTCACATCCCATATCCGGTAGTTCAGTCAGAGGTAGCTTTAGGTGTCTTAAGTTTTCCTTTTCAAGCCATTGCATTCCATTGGAATTTTAAACAAAACATTAATAGGTGATTAATAATGACTGTGCCAAACTGAAGATGTACCAAACTGAGGAATTGTATGGTTTTACATAATCCATTTTTAAAAGACTTTATTGGAATATAATTTACGTACCATATAATTCATCCATTTAAAGTGTCTAGTTCGAGTGTGGTAGCACATGCCTGTAATCTTAGCACTTTGGGAAGCTGAGGCAGTTGGATTGCTTGAGCCCAGGAGTTTGAGACCAGCCTGGGCAACATAGCAAAACCTTGTCTCTACAGAAAATTAGCTAGGTATGGTGGTGCGTGCTGGTGGTCCCAGCTACTCAGGATTGCTTGAGCCTGGAATATAGAGAGGCTGCAGTGAACCGTGATCATGCCACTGCACTCCAGCCTAGGTGACAGAATGAGACCGTGTTTCGAAAAAGAAAAAAAAAGGGTATCCAATTCACTGGCTTTTAATATATTAAGAGTTGTGCATACATTACCACAGTCAATTTTAGAATATTTTTATTACCCCAAAATGGAATCTGGGATCCCTTAGCCATCATCCCCTAATGTCCTTATTCTCCACAGCCCTAGGCAGGCACTAATTTACTTTCTTTTTCTAAATATTTACCTACTCTGGACATTTCTTGTAGAGGGGGTCATGCAGTAGATGATTTTTTTTTTTTTTTTGTGACAAATTCCTTCCACTTAGAGTCATATTTTCAAGGTTCTTTCATGGTGTAGCATATATTCAATACTTTGTTTCCACAGAATACATTTTTGAAAGGAAAAAGAACAGGAAAATAAAAGAGAAAAATCTGCAGTCTAAAATTAAATTTCCCATACAGAAATAATTAACATGACTTATGTTTTAAATCTGAAGTTATAAATGACTCTGTGAAAGAGCTTTTTCTTTCAACCATTATAAAACTAGCTATGATAAGTAAACAAGAACATGCTCTTATAATCTGCAGGAGAGAAAACATAACAAATTCATGGATTACATTCATTTTTGTCATCCCAAAGTAAAGAATTTTAATTATTGCTCATGATAAATGAAAATGTTAATTGAGCTTAAATTTATTCATTTGAAATTCCATTATGCATATTGGGTTAGAAACACCTTTTAATTTACCAGGAGTATAAAATACAACAGATAAAGGTTCTTTTTGATATAAGCTTTTCTGTAAACAAAAGCAGAACGGATCAGAAAACTATAAACATTTTATCTGTTCTCTCATGTTTTAAGTATTTACCAAGTAAATATGTTAACATATGAGATTTAATTCCTCAAAACGTTTTTGCTGTTTAAGTAAGATACCAGTTACAAGTTTAGGGCTGTTAAGTTCAAATTTTGAGTGTATTTTAAATTATGAAGAAATGATTGTAAAAGACTTTCACAGCAATATAAAGTAATCATGAATCTCATTCAACTTCTTCAAAGGGATGACCAAGGTCAAAGTGGGTAAAGAAGACTCATCATCCACTGAGTTTGTAGAAAAACGGAGAGCAGCTCTTGAAAGGTAATTCTAGACAGCTATATTTTATTACTCTCATGTTTGTACTTTAAATGTAATTCCATTATATGGCACAATTGTGTTTTAATGATTAAATTTTTTCCAAGGTACCACTTGATGGCCCTTAAGACTGCTTTAAACTGTTTTAAGAAAATTATTTCTTTCAACAAAATACTGTATAATTATTCTGTATAATTTTTAATCCTCATCAGTAGTCTAACAGAATAACACCCATTTTTCTATTACATGCTACAAGCAGGAGCATATAATAGAAAACATATAAAGACATGAGTTAGCTGGGGATAGAATTATATCATAGGTAGTCACCAAGAGTACTAAGAAACTACCAAACTTGGAAAACATGGAAGTTGTGAATGGGGGGAAAAATAAAAATTTTTGGATAAAAATAATCCCACTTTGGTCTTATTTAGGTTTCTAGGAAGTTATGCCACATTCATGTACTGTGTTGGATAGTATAGCTAATTATAGTTCATCTAAATTAATTTTTCTGATGAGTTTTTACTTAGAACATTATTAAATACAGTGAGAAGTACAGTTTGTGCCCCTTTGTTTTTGTATAATTGGTTTTTACTTGAATGTACAAAAGTATTAGTCTTTGCTTGAGTTGACTATATACAGTTGGCCCTCCATATCTGTGGGTGCCTCATTTGTGGATTCAACTAACCGTGAATGGAAAATATTTGAAAAAAAAAATTACGTCTATACTAAACATGTACAGACGTTTTTGATCATTATTGTCTAAAAAATACAGCTTAACAACTGTTTTCATAGTCTTTCCATTATATTAGGTATTATAAGTCTAGAGGTGACTTAAAGTATATGAGAAGATGTCCACAGATTATTATGCAAACACTATGCCATTTTCTATCAGGGAGTTCAACATTTGCAGATTTTGGTATCTGTAGGATGTCCTGGAACCAGTCCCCCACTGATACTGAGGGACAGCTATACTTAAAGGCTAATATATATGCTGTGTTTTCCTTTAGAGTACTTGACTCTACACATTTCCTATAGCTTTGAAGACTTGTCTTCGTTGAAGCAGACTAAAACGGGGAGGGATGGGAAGATGGGAAGAACCCCACCTCCATAGTCTTAAAATTATTCCTTCCTTGCTGTGCTGACAAAGTGAGAAAACAAATATAAATTATCTTAAAGCCCAGCATTTAAGACACAAGTTGGTAATTACCTAGGCTTGAAACTTTCTAATTTCATTTTTTTTTTTTGTTTGCTTGCTCTTTATTTTTCTCTGGCTTAAAATCAGTGGTTAAGGTGAATAGGACAGGTCTTGGGGGTGGTATCTATTTCTCTAGGTCGCAAATTATTTTTTAAAACTATTTCAAGGCAACTTATTTCTTGTTTTCAGTAGTAAATTGTTTAAATTTTAAGAAAAATGGCACAGTGAAGTTAGATTTGAACAATTCACATTAAGAAAAGCTAAAGAATATGTAGTTTAAAATCTTATATTAGAGAAGACTTAAAGATGGGATTATGTCTGTGAGAATCAGCATTTACCCAGGATAAGGATTTAAATTGCATCAAGAGAAGTTTAGGTTAGGCATTTGAATTGATTCTATTGTAGGAGAGGTCATAGACTGAATATTTTTAAGAATCAAAGTAGATAATGGTCTACCTTGATTTCACTTAGTCTTTCCTGAAAATGTAACCATGACCCTTTGAGAGACCTTTCAAGTCTTATTTTTCTATGAGTAAATTTGAAGTATTTCAGATGGCATGCTTGATAAGGAACTTAATGAAGATTTATTGTACCAAGGACATATAATTTGATTCTACGTTTACCTTTCTTCTAACTTGACTGCATTGCATAGTACTTACCATACCTTCATGTAGTATGAAATGTTGAGGAGAGTTTTAAGGGATATTGAAACTTGACCCAGTGTGTGTATAGAGACACTTTCTTTACTGATAAATTCTACTTGTTAAATGCTACCATAGTGGAATTTACAATAGTGAAAAAAAGAAACAGTATAGTATGAGGGAAAAGTTCATTTTCAATTAGAAAAAAAAATCACTGAAGAAAATATAGGCATAAAGGTATAGAAGCAAAGGAACTGGAATGGTTCTTTTAATCTAATCTTAGTTCTTCTATCCAAGCTAATTTTCCTGTACCCATTTATTTTTTAATCTGTACAGGATTTTAAAACTGCATTTTTCTTGCCCTTTCATATAATCAGCTCTTCTAAAGTGATTTTTCTGTGGTATTTCTTAAACTTTAAACATCAAACAGGTACATTTGTGGGATACTCAACCTAGTTGGATCTGGTGGGTTAGGAAAGTATTTTTCTTTGTATTATTTTATTTAATAGTGTGATATTTATGTATTTGTTCAAACTTAGATGATCCAGATTACTATCTTGAATGAAAGGATAAATATCTGGTATTAAAGGTTAGGAAGAGAAAAGGAGTGGTTAAATACCCAAGTATTCCCCTGTGCCACACTCACTAGAGTAAGCAGAGACTACTACTTAAGAGTAGCCCTAACATCACTTGCTTGGTTTTCTTGAGAGTGCTTCAAATCTTTAGATCATATTGAGTATATTTTATAGGTAAGGATACACATCTGCAAATACAGAAGGAGAAATTTAGAGCCTGATAATAAGTGTATAAGATTTATAATTCCTTTTCAGTTGAAACCTGTACTAACACTACATACTTTCTGTGTGACCTTAGGTAAATTACTTAGATGCATTCCTCTTTAAAGTGTAAATGTGAGGCTGGGCGTGGTGGCTCATGCCTGTAATCCCAGCACTTTGTGGGGCTGAGGTGGGTGGATCACGAGGTCAAGAGTTCAAGACCATCCTGGCCAACATGGTGAAACACTGTCCCTACTAAAAATACAAAAAAATTGGCTGGGTGTGGTGGCGCGTGCCTCTAGTCACAGCTACTTGGGAGGCTGAGGCAGGAGAATTGCTTGAACCCAGGAGGCAGAGGTTGCAGTGAGCCGAGATCGTGCCACTGCATTCCAGCCTGTCCACAGAGTGAGACTCCGTCTCTAAATAAATAAATAAGTAAATAAATAAATAAATAAATAAAATGTAAGTGTGTCAGGATTGTGTTCATTTCAAGCATCTAAAAATCCGACTGGCCTAAACGGTTAATGTAGATTAATTAATCCACTCTTTCAAATCAGAGAGTTTGGGGTAGGCAGCTGTTCAGTATTATCTGATTCACCAGGAAATTCTATTGCTTCTTTCTGATAACTGATAATACAACCTTTTCTCACCAGTCTACTGGCTTTGAGTCCAAAGGTGTTAATTAACTGCAGTAGCCTCCTAATTGGTGTCCCTGATTCCATTCTTGGCACTTCTACTTTAATATAGAACTTACAGTAGTTTTATATATATTTATATTCTAAAATATAAATCAGATCATTTTTAACCCCTCCCCACCCTGGCCCCATGTCCCCATTTTACTCAGTAAAAGCCAGAGTCCTTTTAATGGACTACAAGACTCTATATTACCTGCACGCCTCACTGTGTTACCCGTTTGATCTCATATCCTCCGTGATCACTCACTCTGCTTTAGGCCAGACTAACCTTTTTGCTGCTTCTCAAACACCCTCGGCATTTTCCTATCTTAGAGTCTTTTCAACTGCCTGCTCCCTCTGCCTAGAATTCTTTGTTCCTAGGTATCTGAATAGCATTCCTTGTTCAAGTTCATATGTTCAAATAACACCTTTCAAGTGAAGCCTGTTTCAGTCATTGGCTTTCTTCTGACCTATTATATTTATTGCCACCAACCACGTCTTAAATACTTGGTGATATTTACCCCATTGTTCTGTCTTTTTTTCCCATAGCTTTTGCCATCTTGTCACATACTTTATCATTTGTATGTTTATTATGTTTATAGTTTATTGTCTATCTTGTACTAAAATGTAAGCTTCACCAGGGAAGGAATCTTAGTCTCTTGCTCACTGATGTCTTCCAGGTACTCAAAACTGTACTTAATAGGTAGTAAGAGCTCAGTAAGTATTTGTTGAATGAACAAGTGAATGTCATCCAAGTCCCAGGCTCTTTCTACCTTTTTATTCTCCCATTGTGTGCACTTGTGTTTTAGTTTCAAGCAAGATAAATATTTGTAACTCTGTTGCTCTCAAGCATTTTATATAACCTACTTTGTTTTGTTTTGTTTCTGGTAAGTAAATAAGAATTTGAAAGCCTTGAGTGATTTTTCATCAGTAACTTGAAGTAAACTTGAAGAACAATTACTGAGCACCTCTTATTGGATGGTATTGATCAATTCCATTTCTGTTTCTTTTCAGTGTTTCAATTTCTCCCTATACCTCTTTTCCTGTCTTCTTCCTACACTCATTTACTCTTTTTGTCCTGTGTCTTTCCTTTATATTACAACCATCTCTGGTCTTAATTCCGAGTTGGCGTATGTTTATAAATATTTGTTGTTTTAAAATCCATTTTATAGTTCTGTTCTTAATTTCAACATTATATAAGCTTATATATATATAAAAGCATATTTATGTATGCATTTCTTAGTTTTTAGTTTATATTTTTAGTTTATATATGTTTAGTTTATGTTTTTAGTTAACATTTTTAGTTATATATGTTATATATATAAACTAAAAAATACATATATAAACTAAATATAAACAATATATAAACTAAAAAATGCTAAACTAAAAAAATATATAAACTAAAAAAATACATACATGTATATTTTAGTATATGTATTTAGTATATGTATTTAGCTTTATTTCATGTTGCCTTTGAGAAGGAAGGTTTTACCCCCTTTTTCTGGAATATCGTTTTTCAAAATTGATTCTTCAGAATGCTAATACGTGGTAGAATGAAAAAGATCTATAGTCAATTGAGTTTTGTTAACATAAGGTTTAACAGAGTTCAACTAGGGTTATTTTCTGTAGGAGTTCTCACAACACTTAATAAAATGCTGTTTGATACTAATTTTAAAAGACAGGAATATGTATATATTTCAAACTTTCTTGATGTGGAATCAGTCTTTTTCATGGAATAGTACGTGAGACTAGTATTCTACAGTCTTTTTCATGGAATAGTATGTGAGACTAGTATTCTACAGTCTTTTTCATGGAATAGTACGTGAGACTAGTATTCTACAGTCTTTTTCATGGAATAGTACGTGAGACTAGTATTCTACAGTCTTTTTCATGGAATAGTACGTGAGACTAGTATTCTACAGAACTCACTTTGGAAAGCTGTTTTAGAATATAAATGATACAAGGTATTTCCACTTAGGTTTGAAATATTAGAATTTTTTTTCTTTTCTTCTTTTTTTTCTTTTTTTCTGAGATGGAGTCTCTCTCTGTCACCCGGGCTGGAGTGCAATGGCGCAATCTCGGCTCACTGCAACCTCCGTCTCCTGGGTTCAAGCGATTCTCCTACCTCAGCCCCCTGAGTAGCTCGGACTATAGGTGCATGCCACCACCGCTGGCTAATTTTTGTATTTTTACTAGAGATGGGGTTTCAGGCTGGTCTCGAACTCCCTACCTGTGATCCACCTGCCAAAGTGCAGGGATTACAGGCATGAGCCACCTCACCCAGCCGGAATATTTCTTAGAGGTTAAGTACTAGATGTTTTGTCTTTCTTGGGTTTTTGTTTGTTTTTTACAAGTATCTGAGTTCCTGCTATTACCTAGCTGTGGTATGCACTGAGATGAGCAACTTATGCAAACTGCCTTCAAGTAGTACTCAGTCTAAAAAACTAAATAACTTATCTGATATATTGTGACAGAACTTCAGTGTTAAAATTGTAAGTCAAATTCAAGTGGGGAAATACCAACATTTCTCAAACCTACAGGGTTAGTGTTCTTGCTGCATCCGTTTTTTTGGCTTCATAATATAGGCAGCAAAAACTTTTAAACCATAGCATAGGTTATATTGCAGATATCTGTTAAATGATCTGGATCTAGTATAATGACTTCTTATGTGGACTACTGACTTAAAATGAAGTTTAGTATGCTGTATATTTTATTTAAATATATAAAAACAGAAGTTAACATTTTGATACTGATAAAATAGTCATTTTGATCAATGTATAGAATTTGACTTTAGAGAAGATTATCCTTTTTTGGAAACATTAATTTTAGGCATATTTTATAATTTTATAAAAAGGTAGAAGAAATTACTGACTACATTTATTCTAAAGAAATAAATGTGTTATTAATTGTGAGTAAAAATATTATAACTGAAATATTACTGCATATAGTTATTAACTTGGGGAAAGATAGCAGTTGTTTTTAATGGGATTAGATGAATAATTGAGAATCATCAAATAGTTGACCTTATTTCCTTTTATGAAGTCATGATTGGTAATTTATTATGGGTGACAGGCACATGTGAGCTTTTCTAATAAAGGGGAAATTGATTTCATAGTGATGTTTCTCACTTTTTCATTTTTATTCATTTTACGTGGTATTCATTTATTTGATTTTATATGGTGTCATATTTAGATAAGATATTTACCAAAAACAGCAAAGCCTTAAAAATAGAAATATTGAATAAATACCTTTGAAGAGGTATGGGGAAATTTTTTTTTCTTTTTTTATTATACTTTAAGTTCTAGGGTACATGTGCACAATGTGCAGGTTTGTTACATATGTATACATGTGCCATGTTGGTGTGCTGCACCCATTAACTCGTCATTTACATTAGGTATATCTCCTAATGCTATCCCTCCCCCCACCCACCCCCCAGCAGGCCCCAGTGTGTGATGTTCCCCTTCCTGTGTCCAAGTGTCCTCATTGTTCCCACCTATGAGTGAGAACATGTGGTGTTTGGTTTTCTGTTCTTGCGATAGTTTGCTGAGAATGATGGTTTCCAGCTGCATCCATGTCCCTACAAAGTACATGAACTCATCTTTTTTATGGCTGCATAGTATTCTGTGGTGTATATGTGCCACATTTTCTTAATCCAGTCTGTCATTGATGGGCATTTGGGTTGGTTCCAAGTCTTTGCTATTGTGAATAGTGCCGCAAAAAACACGTGTGCATGTGTCTTTATAGCAGCACAATTTATAATCCTTTGGGTATATACCCAGTAGTGGGATGGCTGGGTCAAATGATATTTCTAGTTCTAGATCCTTGAGAAATCACCACACTGTCTTCCACAGTGGTTGAACTAGTTGACAGTCCCACCAACAGTGTAAAAGTGTTCCTATTTCTCCACATCTTCTCCAGCACCTGTTGTTTCCTGACTTTTTAATGATTGCCATTCTAACTGGTGTGAGCTGGTATCTCATTGTGGTCTTGATTTGCATTTCTCTGATGGCTAGTGATGATGAGCATTTTTTCACGTGTCTATTGACTGCATAAATGTCTTCTTTTGAAAAGTGTCTGTTCATATACTTTGCCCACTTTTTGATGGGGTTGTTTGTTTTTTTCTTGTAAATTTGTTTGAGTTCTTTGTAGGTTCTGGATATTGACCCTTTGTCAGATGAGTAGATTGCACAAATTTTCTCCCCTTCTGTAGTTGCCTGTTCACTCTGATGGTAGTTTCTTTTGCTGTACAGAAGCTCTTTAGTTTAATTAGATCCCATTTGTCAATTTTGGCTTTTGTTGCCATTGCTTTTGGTGTTTTAGACGTGAAGTCCTTGCCCATGCCTATGTCCTGAATGGTATTCCCTAGGTTTTCTTCTAGGGTTTTTATGGTTTTAGGTCTAACATTTAAGTCTCTAATCCATCTTGGATTAGTTTTTGTATAAGGTGTAAGGAAGGGATCCAGTTTCAGCTTTTTACTTATGGCTAGCCAGTTTTCCCAGCACCATTTATTAAATAGGGAATCCTTTCCCCATTTCTTGTTTGAGGTATGGGGAAAATATTGAAGAAAATTTAGTTCTTGTCAAGTGAGGACTCAAGCTAATTGTGATCATTTAAATATGCTGACATGCAAAAAAATTGGTATACTCTTCCCCATTTTGGTGATAATAGCAATTTAAAACTTGGTTGAGTGGAATATATATAGTAATAATAATATGTTTCTTAGAACTCTAAAATTATAGTTGAGAATGTAATGACTCCATCTATAGATAAAATTATTCAACAAACTCACATACCCCTTTACAACATTAATGCTTTGCAATGAGAAGTTTGGTAAGTTATTTATCCTCTCCCACTCCCACCCCTTGCCATTTTTCTTTTTACATAATTATGAAAACTGGATAGTATATCAATTTTCAAAAGATGAACAAAAACCTTTTTAATTATTAAATTGCTGTAGGATTCTAAGTAATTACAGTGAGATCAGACTAATAGGAAGTAGTGAGGACACCTTTTTTCCTAGTATTTCTATTTTTTATCATTTTGTTGAAATATAATTCAAGATGCTACTGATAAAGGAGCAATTTTACTCTTAAATCTAGGTATCTTCAAAGAACAGTAAAACATCCAACTTTACTACAGGATCCTGATTTAAGGCAGTTCTTGGAAAGTTCAGAGGTATTATTTCTGTATTAAATTTTTGTATATGAATGTTATCATTATTTGTCATTGTAATTTATATGACTATATATATAGTAAATAATTGGGTCAATAGATGGAGTAAAGCAATTATTATTATTTTTTTCCTTAGTGCTTTAATTACCCTGCTAAATTAGTAGCAAAATATCTTTGCTTTGATACTTGTAGGATGATTAGTCCCTTTCTTGAACACTTAAAATAAGATTTAAGAGAGTGGTTTGTAAGTAGTCTAACTCTGAATGCCCTAAGTTGTTCCTCAGGCATCATGTTGAAATAAGTTTATTCAGACTTCATTTTAGAGAAAGAGAAAGTTGAATGTGTGTTTGCTTGTCTACATTTTGGTATCCTTATTAAGGTTTTGAAATGCAAATTTGTGACTTGAAAGAGCCTAAATTATAACCATGATGCTCTTTATGTTTGAAATGTTTGGTATAATTTTGGCTCCTAGGAACAATTTGAGTTCTAGTTTGAGTTTTTTTCTTTAATTTACTTGAGTTGCAGAATTTTTTAAAAACTCAAAATCACACAATGCTAACTGAGCATAAGGAGATTTTTCTCAAGACTTTCTTCTTTCCTTATAAACAGTTTATTTCTGTTAGCAAACAGGTGGCCAGTGTTAGGGTACTTGGCAATTTCTTAATATATTTTGACAAACAGGGTGTTTGTTCCATCTAAATGTAAACGTGCAGAAGAAAAGCAAATGGAAAGTCTATTTTTTAAGTTTTCCTTTGAGAATGTACAAGTAGTATATTTGAGAAATTAGATCTCACTACTGAAATGTATGAGAGTGAAGAAAATACAACCTCCTTTTTTAAATTTGTTGGGGGCGGGTGGGAAGGAGGGGGGATCACTTTTGTGCCCAGTTAAACCTCCAGGCTTTTAACCGGTTTGTTTGCCCTTATTTGTCATTCAATTCCAGCTGCCTAGAGCAGTTAATACACAGGCTCTGAGTGGAGCAGGAATATTGAGGATGGTGAACAAGGCTGCCGACGCTGTCAACAAAATGACAATCAAGATGAATGAATCGGATGCAGTAAGAGCTGATTTTTCGACTTGAATAATGAGATGAATTAATGAGCCCAACAATTGCATTTTAAAGCTGTACAAGTGGAAAATAGGATATTAATTTGCTTATTGAGTTTAGTTCTCAGCCACATCAGTTGGCCACCATGGTTATACATGGTTAATTTGTTGCTTTAAAACAAGGAATGTAGCTTGGTATTGGTAACCTAATTTACAATGGTTTGTTCTTCCTAAATTAGCTCCATTTTTCATTTTTTTCTTAGTGGTTTGAAGAAAAGCAGCAGCAATTTGAGAATCTGGATCAGCAACTTAGGAAACTTCATGCCAGTGTTGAAGCCTTGGTCTGTCATAGAAAAGGTTTGTTTGCCTTATTACTTATGTGGTTAGCACCATAAAACTAACGAAAATATTTTATTTAAATTTTATGAAAATAAATATGCTGAAGTCATTGCAGAAGAGAGAAAACAATCGTTTTAAGACAATATTTTCTAGTTCTACTTTATTATTTAAAATTTTTTCTATTTTGATTTAATATCTAGTTTGGAAGTAGAAAAATAACGAGCTTAGAAAACTTAACTGGTACAAATGTGAGCTAAAAAAAGAACAAAGAAAACTATATTTGAATTTTGGATTAAAACTTGGTCACTTGATTAACTTTTTGTTAAGTATAGTTACAGTTAAATGAATGAAGATGTCTTATCAATTAGTAACTTTGATTATAATAAAAAATTTGAGGTTTGAAAATAGCTTTTTGAAAATTTTTTGGGAAATATTTGTTTTGTGCTTCTATTTCCTGTTATGCCCTTTGAAGTATTTTCTTCATTTTTGAACTACAATATTGACAGATCTGGGGGTTTTGCTGAAAATTCCTAGAAAATTTGAGTTGTAATATTTTAATTCACAATGAAATTATAGTTTTTTTGGTTTATTTTTAAAGAATCCAACAATGTAAATATCAATTGTCCAAGATATTTAATAAGCAAATAATATGTAACATTACCAGCAATACATTTTATTAAAATAATTATAGAAACTTACTAATAAATTTATTATTGAAAGTAGTTTGTAATAGCTTTTGCCATTTGAATTATATATCTCTTAGGGAATGGGCTCTTTTGGAGAACTTTACATAATGTAGAGCAACAGAGCAATTTCCAGGCAATGTAATTGTTAGTCATTGACAGTGTTCAGTCTGTAAACATCTGCTTTTCTTTATTTGAAATATCTGAAATGATCACATTCTAAATCTTTTTAGAAATTCTAATATTTTACTGAGATTGTTGCACAACAAAGGAAAAAAAAATAAAATTTATGTTAATTATGTATATAATTTAACTTCGCTCCTGTTAGCTAAATAATATTCTCATTAAAAATTATAAACGTTATTTTCAATGACAAACATTTAAAGGCCAGAAATGTGGTATAAATCAATTGTGAGTATTGCCAGTTCCTCTCATATTAAAAATATATTTCCTTTTTAGGAATAGACAGAGAAACAGTGAACATTGTGGGAGAAAAAACAGGAGGCAGATTTTTTTTTTTTTTTTTGAGACGGGGTCTCGCTCTGTCGCCCAGGCTGGAGTGCAGTGGCACGATCTCAGCTCACTGCAAGCTCTGCCTCCGGGGTTCACGCCATTCTCCTGCCTCAGCCTCCCGAGTAGCTGGGACTACAGGCGCCCGCCACCTCGCCCGGCTAGTTTTTTTTTTTTTGTATTTTTAGTAGAGACGGGGTTTCACTGTGTTAGCCAGGATGGTCTCTATCTCCTGACCTTGTGATCCGCCCGTCTCGGACTCCCAAAGTGCTGGGATTAGAGGCTTGAGCCACCGCACCTGGCCCAGATTTTTATATTAAATAATTTAAACATAGTTCATCCCTTTGGAATATAAGCAGTGATTTGTCCGTGTTTTCAGTAGATCTCCGAGCACTTGGCATTTATGCCTGAGGCATTTTAATGACTAATTGTTTCATGTTAATTAATTTAAAATATTATTTGAGCAACTTGTGAATAAGTAAAATTTAGAGAAAAGTGGAAAAATCAATACAATATTTTAAAATTTTGCTAGCAAACACTAAAAGTGCATACTGTTTTTTAAATTTCAGAACTTTCAGCCAACACAGCTGCCTTTGCTAAAAGTGCTGCCATGTTAGGTAATTCTGAGGATCATACTGCTTTATCTAGAGCTTTGTCTCAGCTTGCAGAGGTTGAGGAGAAGATAGACCAGTTACATCAAGAACAAGCTTTTGCTGATTTTTATATGTTTTCAGAACTACTTAGTGACTACATTCGACTTATTGCTGCAGTGAAAGTAAGCCCTTTCTTGCATTCTTCTCACTTGTGTGCTTTAAAAAGTATTTTGTCTCCTATTAGTTATGTGTTTAAATGTCTAAATTCCTCCTATACTAGCAATAATAAAGTGGTTTCAAGGTAATTATACATAACTTAATACTTTCTTCCCTATAACTTGCACAGTACAATAGATAGAATTAATGTTTTTAACAGGTCTAAGGAATGACAGATAAGATAGAAAACATACATTTACTTACGTATTTGCTTATACAAGTTTGGAACTAACTAATAGCATTTATTTGCTCATTCTAGCACTAACTGAAACTACTCACTGGACTCTATTGTCATTAGTAAAGCTGACTGTGTAATAAATAGGATAAAACTAGAAACGATTATTGCAGTGAATATGTTTAATGGGGGCTTTTTCATGTATTTGGATATAATCAGACTTTGTATCTTCAAGTGTATAGTCACCATGTGTTTATAGATGAGATGGGACTAGATTAGATCATAAATTGTGTTACTGAATGGTAATACTTAAATATAATAGTGCAATTTCTGAATAGTTGAGAAAGTGATCCAGTTAGCAAAAATTAGTATTCTACAGATATCTGCAGTATTCAGACAGTTAAACTGAACTGAACGTTACTCAGTGTATCATGTTTCAGAAGATACTTTAAGAATCTTTGAATTTTTGTTATGGATATTAACAACATGGGGTTTGGTGGGTACTGGGTGTTTACCTTTTACCTTGAATTTAAACATCTAGAAAGTTGGCCGGGCGCGGTGGTTCAGGTCTGTAATCCCAGCACTTTGGGAGGCCGAGGCGGGTGGATCATGAGGTCGGGAGATCGAGACCATCCTGGCTAACACGGTGAAACCCCGTCTCTACTAAAAATACAAAAAGTTAGCCGGGCGTGGTGGTGGGCACCTGTAGTCCCAGCTACTCGGGACGCTGAGCCAGGAGAATGGCGTGAACCCCAGAGGCGGAGCTTGCAGTGAGCTGAGATCGTGTCACTGCACTCCAGCCTGGGCGACAAAGCGAGACTCCGTCTCAAAAAAAAAAAAAAAATCTAGAAAGTTAATGAGATCTTGTTCCTTTCTTATGCAAAATTTTTTCAGCTAAAGTCTGTGATCAAGTTAGTACTCATCTAGAGTGAGCATATTTATTGATCTAGAGTGAGCATATTGATAGTTCTGTTCTCAAGCTACTGGTGACATTTATTACTAGAGCATTCTTAGCACTTCAGAATGGTGCTTTCTTTTATTTGGTAAAATTACCAATTTTACTGTTTTAAATGTTGTTCCTTATGCTGTTGGTGATTAATTTTTCAGTATTTAGAAATGTTAATATAGATAGCAGTTGTCAGAGTATATATGCTTCATTATATACAGGCAGCTTGTGATATACAGAGATCCAGTTTACAGATTTGTGCCGCCTACTCTCACTTCTTACCAGAGCGCCCAATAGCATGAGAGCTGTTGTAAAAAAGTGTGACACTTCCAACAAACCTGTGGGTCAAAAAAGGGGAATTGGGCAGTGTCTGTAAGAATACATATCTGGGCCGGG